GTGTTTGAATTAGGGTTGATTTGCCACTACCAGTTCTGCCAACAATGCCAGTCTTCAAGCCTCCAGGAAAGTTGCATGTAAGGCCTTTTAAAACAAATGGCATGTGTGGCGCATAACGGACCTATGTTGAAATTAGTTAGGATTGAGGGAAGTATTAATCAAAACTGTAAAATATTTGAAAAACTTTTGAATAACAAAAGTAATGTACAAGTGTTGTTAAAACAAGGAACAAGCTGACATTAATTACAAGTGCTTACAAAAAAAATAAAAAGTTTTACTCATAAAATGGATGTAACGTAACACCTAAATAATGTGAATTTATAGTGTCAAATCCTAAATGTCCTTCATAGGACTATGATGCTGATAATAATGACCACAAAGATGATTAGAATGAGAATAATGATGAAGACTTCTCCTAAGCCCCAAAACAATTATCTACAAACTGCCTTAATTATCTAATTCATTTTTTTATTTGCCTATAATATTGTGCTCCTACTAAACAGGCCTTGTGACAAGCCAAAGAAAAAAAAAAGGATTTTATTCTTGTGTTCTTACAAGTTGATTTTAATTCAATCTGTAACTAGATTTAGTGCTTAGAAAAAATTTTGAAAAAAAGGTTAAAAATCAAATATTTGGAGGATTTCAAAGAAACAAACTAAAATAATGAGAAATGTAGAAAAAAATATGATATCCCCAAGCGAAAAATCATAATATCTTATATCCCTTAAAAATATCACTTCGGTGAATGTGACTCATAGCATATCTTATAGACACCTATGGCATTCTCAACTATAATTTTATCTCAGTCATTTAGAAAGTAAGTTCATAGAAGAACACCATTCATGCCTTAATGGAAAGTTAAAGCAAGTAAATTCAAATATCTTTGGAACTCATATGTGCTATTTAAGTTCCATGACTTCGCCTCTACCTATTATCTTTTTCTTTCAAGTTTAACATAATAAGTTCACCAAAGATTGGCGGATATCTAATAGTCTATTAATAATAGAGGCACAAGGATCGAAAATATGAAAATTATAAATATTTTCCCCTAGAATAGTGAAATTTTCCACCAATTGAAAATCCTCCCATATCAACACAGTTATAACTAATTTAGTATATAGTACTTGGGCCTGCAATGTTGTTAAAATATTAAGAGAATAGTTATATTTTTTCCTATCTTTACTTCTGATCATCAGAGTAATCTACCTTTATCATTCTAATTGAAGACCAATTTATATGCTAATGTTTCATAAAATATTACAAGTATTATTACATATCACATCACTTTACTTTAAAATTGACCTATTAAAAGGTTATGAAAACAGCATTGAATGGTATTTCATTAAATATAATTATTCTCTTTAAAAAATTCTAGTAAATTTGCATTTTTGTTGACCATATGCCATTAACAGGTTCAATTCATCTTTTCTAACAAGTTTAATATTGCAGAAACCGAAAAGGAAGCACAATTTGATTATTGCAATTTTTGAACTGATAAAAGATCATTCGGGTAATGTATCAGCCTTTTCTCATACAAAAATAAATTCCATAGAAGATAAAAAATAAATCTTCATCTCAAAACATGTAATTATACATAAAGTACCTAAATTACTCATTTTGATCTGTTTGTTAAAACAATCCCTAGAATAGACTCATGATTATTTGTATTTCTTCCTTTTAATTTCCTTCTTAACCAAATACTTAAATTACATATTATATCTTATAATTTTTTGTGAATAGTACTTCTCAAGTATCACTCTAACATTTAGAGAATGTATTTTGATGGAAATCAATTTTATAAACTTTAATTCCCACCTTTATATTAGCCTTTTTTTTTTGCACCATAACGAACATAAATTTACAATGGCTGAAACATCAATTACACTATTTAATTGAGATAATTCAAATTAAAATTTATCTTCTTTTACGGTAAAATGTGATCTTTCCTTTTATAATTTTATGTAAATCTAACTTCTCTATTAATTTAAGCTCGCACACATATAGCATAATGCTAAATAAATCATTACTTTTTGGTCTAAAAAATGTTCTTTTCTTTTGCATTTTCCAAAAAAGATGGATACTTGGTGAATATTTGGTACCTTAAATAACTAGGACTATCCTATTCTTACTCCTTGGCCTCTTGGATAAAATCATTTGATATTCAATGAAAATGGTCCACCTTAGTAAAAGTTGGTTCTTCAAAGCTTGCTCAAGATTTAACTCATAAGAAAAAAATAGAAAGGCAAATCTCTTTAGCTTAATAGCATCATAATCGTCATCAAAATCATCATGAAACTTATCTCAATTCATCTTTATTGAATGTTGCATGAAAAACCTATTTGGTGCAAATAATTTTGCACTTTGAACCAGTGTGACTCGGTGTTTTCACCTTTCCCTTCATGATACTTTATACAGATTTTATCAACCCATCTTATTGATGCATCTTTTACAATTCGTTCCACATGCCCAAACAATTTAATTCTATTTTCTATAACATCATCTTTCATAGATTATATTTCTATACTCTAATAATGTTTTTTTTCAATTCAACCTTACAAGTTTTTACATACCCATCCATGTTTTCACAATTTTTCATGAATTCAATTTAAGATTCTCATTTTTTTCATGCTCTACTTCTCTATCAATAATTTCTTTACGGCCTATTACTAAATGTCATAAGGTATAATCAGCCAAGTTGTAATTATATTATAATTTACATTTATACCTTGATACTTTTATCATATCAACCATAATACTCAGGCATTTATTCATTTTAATCACCTATCTTTATTCTAAAATTATATCAACATCTGAATTCATATTCATCTAACTAATATATCCAACATTACTATAAGTAAAATTATGCAGAGGATTACCTGCAGATCGTGAAGTTCCAAATCTCCTTTTGATGGCCAGTTATCGTCAGGCCTGTTAGTTTCTATAACAAGAGGAGGCTCACTAGAAATGTTTGTATACTGAAATATCCTCTCCACTGCAATTATTTTGTTTTCAAGGCTACATAGGGTCCATATGACCCATGCCTGCAGCATATTCAGATTAAGGCCATATGTCACGGCAAGGCCAGCAAGTCCTGTTATGCAAACAAAAAAAAAAAGGTTAAAGTTTTTATCATATACTAGTTGCTTGATTTAGTTCAAAAAGATAAATAATATATTTCTACCAAAAAAATTTACCGGGATCAATTACCCCCCTTGGCAAGCAAATCAAGAATATCAAACAAAATGCAAAAACAATGGATGACAACACATCCAAACGAAAGCAAAGCCACTCCATAGCACAGTTATTATGAAACCGTGGTCGATTGCATTCGTCCAAACGCTGCGAATTAATGTTTATAAATCTCGATTCTTCACCAAAACTTCTAATGGTTGTTGATCCTGATAATGATTCTGAAAAATGCTGTATAATTGGAGCTTTAAATAGCCCCACCAACCTCGCTAATTCTCGTGCTGTATCGATGTAATATCGCTGCAGCAAGAAATAAGAAAGTAAATGCCATGTTCATCCCCCTTCAGTACAAATAACTTCAAGGTGCATGCACGTACACACCCCACAGTTCTTATATATTTACATATATAGCACAAACTTTCATATTTACATAGATACCACTCAAATCATTGACAATTCACCCAAAATGCCACTACTACAAACTTTTTAAAACCAAAACACACCTTTTCATGCATAAATTTTTAACGCCAAAGTTGTATGTGTTAGATATGAATGTAAATTTTTAACATCAAACTTTAGTAGGTGTTAGATATGAAAAATGTAATAATTGTGTGATATGTATGTAAATTTCCCATAAATAAAAGGAAGCCTTGTTTACTGGATAAACTCAAGCTAAATATGAGTTCTGATTTGGTAATACCTGATACCAGAAGCTTAATCCAAGAACTGGAATAAAGATGATGAAAACCTGCCATGCAACTTGTGACATGACTACAATAATTCCAATAAGTTGTATGGTTGTGAATGCAAATGCGCCAATTTGGTAAGGTATGCTTGTGTCTACATCACTCTGATCAGTTGAAGCCTGCATCAACAAATTTTTTTTCATAAATTCTCACCAAGTCAATGAAATATTTTCAACAAATTTGAATTTGCTTGAGTTTGCAGACCCTGTTTAAAATACGTCCACTGGGAGTGGAATCAAAGAAGGACATTGGAGCACGAAAAATGCTGAAATGCATCTCATTGAACAGTATTGTAGCAGTTTTGAGTCCAGCCGTAGCAAGTAGCAAAGCTCTGATAAGAATGCAGATAGAACTCCCAATGGCTAATGCAATATAGATATAGATAAGAGTAAGCACAGTAACTGGAGCTTCCACATCTCTGGATGGCGGAGCAGCCCAAGCCATCCAGTAATTACTAGCTATCTGTAGAACTTGAAAGAGCATCTGGGCACAAAGTATCAGTGGCACTAAAGCACCTTTATATGCTTTTGTGATATACTTCCAGTAAACCCAAAACCCAACTCTTCCTTTCTCCCTTTCTTCTTCTTGCACAAGTTGGCCTTTCTGAATCTCTGTTTCATTAGCTTTAGAGTTTAGTGCATCTTTCTTATCTTCATCAAGAGTCTGCTTGCTACTTTTACTATTATCTGAACTGTCATCTTTAATATTGCTTGAATTATCTTTAGCAAGTTCCATATTGTCAAGAACTGATAGAGCTTCTTTATGAGCGCCTACTAATTCCATCAAGTTCCTTCCAGAAGTGATTATGTCATTGTATTTACCCATTTCCGTTATCTTTCCATCTTTCATTACCTGACAAGAAAGTTTCATTCTATTCAATATTTGCATCCAAAGTTAGAATGGATGAGTTATGGAACTCACCAATATAAGATCAGCAGTAGGCAAAAATTCAACTTGGTGGGTGACATAGACTATGGTTTTAGAAGCCAAAACCCCAAGCAAGCATTCCTGTTATTAAAGTATGGTTGTCAATGGCTTTAATCATTTGATGATAAAATATTATAGAGAATTACAGATGAACTTAAGAAATTATAATTATGGCTAATACATTATATGACTTTGAGTATTAGATAGGATAAAAGTCATAAATTGCTAAGATGAGTGTGGCCAAATTGAGAATGTGTGGGGACAACATGAATAAAAATTATATTAGACAAAGTGCGGGGGCAACATCTATTGAATGCAATGTAGAAAAATAGATTTTGATAGTTTGGAATTTAAAATGCAGAAAATGTGCTATCAGGCAAGTGGACGATATTAGTGTCGAAATATTAGAAAGAAAAAGATGTTGGCCTAATAATATGGATAAAAGTTATTTGCATAGAATATGTTTAGTGCCTGGTATAGTACATAAATGGAAAAGAATGGAGAAAAAGAAATCATAAAAATGGCCCCAAAAGAGTTGGGATAAAGCCAATGATGAGGACGACCACAATGATGATGATAATGTTGTTGTTAATAGTGTTTTAAAATAGGTTTAACATTAGATTAGTGAAGCATAAAAAATAAATTACTAATGCTCTGTATATGGATATGACAAAAATAAATTACTTATAATATGTAAATGGATATTACAATTTTAGAACATTACTAGTCATAATAAATGAATTGTTCTTTAGCATCAATCAAAGAAACTAGAAAACATAAACAACAAATTGGTTGATTAGTTAAAGACATGGAAGCAATGGTTAGAAGGCATGTACCTTAAAAAGATGAGAGCCAGTATGGGCATCAACAGCACTAAATGGATCATCAAACAAAAAGATATCAGCATCTTGGTATAAGGCTCGTGCAATTTGAACTCTTTGCTTCTGTCCCCCACTCAGATTGATGCCTCTTTCCCCAATAATTGTTTGGTCACCAAAAGGAAGAATCTCTAAATCCTTCTTCAATGAGCACGCTTCCAGAACATTGTTATACTTTTCTGAGTCCATCTCCTTACCAAAAAGTATATTGTCTTGAATCTTTCCACTCTGTATCCATGGTGATTGTGCGACATAAGCTGTCGACCCACACAATTTCACTGTTCCAGCTATTTTAGGAACTTCACCTAAGATACAAGCAAGCAAACTGGACTTCCCAGAGCCAACAGTTCCACAAACTGCTACTCTCATACCATCCAGTATTTTAAAGTTTAAATCTTTTAGGGTAGGAGACTCAGATGAAAGGTCCCATGAGAACATCCCGTTGCTCACTTCGATTGCAACATCAGAGCTTTCTCTAGGAAGCCTTTCTACAATATTCTTTTGTAAGTCCTCAAGATGAAGAAATGATGTTATCCTATCTAATGAAACTTTAGTTTGAACAACCATAGAGATGGTATCAGGAAGATTGTAAATTGGTTCCTGCAACACTCTAAATGTTGCAAGTGCTGATAGAACCTTTCCTGACTCTAAAGGTATCCCCATAAGCACACAAGCTCCAAAAGTGACCACAGCTACAAAAGAAGGTGTACCCCAAAACACAAAAGTAGTCATTGCAGATGTGTAAACATATTTCTTCAACCAATTTGTCTCATTTTTTCTCAATTCAGCTATCTTTGCCAAGAACTTCATCTCCCAGCCTTGAAGCTTGAGAATCCTCATATTTCTTAAGATTTCTGAAGTGGATTTCATTCTTACATCTTTTGCTTCCATCACCTTTTCTTGGTACTTTTCTTGCATTTTACCCAAGGGAAAATTTGCTAACATAACAACAAAAGTAGCAGCTAATGCAGCTAGTGAAGCAAGGCCCAACCTGGCATACAAGACAAACAGAGCCAAGGCTACTTGAACTGGGACCATCCACAGATCATGTAAGTACCAAGCAAACATTGCAACTCTATCAGCGTCAACACTCATGATATTGATGATCTCCCCACTGGTACGACCTTGCCTTGCATTGCTAGACAGGGTAAGACCCTTTTGATAAATAATTGATACCAGAAATGACCTGACTCTCATACCAATTTGTTGTAATCTAAAGTACCAATGCCTCTGTGTAAGGCATTCAAATATTTTTGCAATTATGAATGACATAACTAAAACATAACCTTCATTAGCAAATGTCTGGTTACCGTTAAGAAACTGAACAAAGTAATCAATAAGATAGGGACCAACATAGGAAGCAACGGTATAAAGAAGCGCATATATGGATGTAAGTAAGATAAGTCTCCAGGAAGATAAGATTAATGCCTTTGCTAAATTGAAAGAAGTTATATGAGCAGAGCCACTGTTATTGTCATCACCACTAGTTGCTTTGCAAGCTTCAAGTTTGCCTTTAAAAATAGGTAGAAATCCATCAACACTATCTCTGTGATCCAGCTGCGGTACATCTTTAATGTCTAAAGTCTTCTTATTACCAAAAGCAATTAATGGATTCATCCAAGAGAAGGTTAGGATGCTAAGAAAACTAGCATTTGTGAACAAAGAGACATTACCAATACCACCATCACTCTCGCTTGGTTCACCATTAGAACTACTTACCCCACCATTCAAGAGAGATTCTCGGAGATGATTACTCCCATCTTCAACCCTCTTTCCAAACAACCCAGTATAATTAAGAATGAGAGCAGATATAAGAGACCCAAAATCCAATAACCACATATGGGTTCCCATGATCCCAAGCTTTCTATAACAGAAAAAATCTAAGGCAATGGAGAAGCAGGTAATGAGCAAGTAGACACCCCACCATATCTTAAGAACAGCAGGGAACTTATTCTCTCTATTCTCACTACATGGAAGGAAAGCGAAATGCAAGTAAGCCGCAATGACAAGCCATGTGATTGCTCTAACACCCAAATCCAATTGGGTGGCATGTTCTTTAACAAAGGCCCCTTTGCCATCACCATACCAGAAGATATCATAGATGCACAGGAAGATATAAAACAAGCATAGCATCGAGCAAGTTGAGACCGTGGCTTTGTAATACAGAAATCTATCTTGTTTTGATCTATCTTTACTCAAACCTCCGCCACTGGACCGCCTACATAACCAGAGCAAAGACAAGACAACCAAAAACAAAATGTGGCAGGAAGCAGAGAACAAATGAAGAAAACAAGGTTCTAACAAGAATCCATCTCTTTGATTCAGAAGGGAGGCTCGCATACCGTGAGCCACATCCTGTAAAAACTCCATCTTTGCCTCTCTCTCTCGCCCAGTTGCTTAAAAGAATATTCAATCTTCAAAATTTTTGCTTCATGAACCGAACGAAGGAGGGTATTGGGGTTATATATTCTACAAGTCAAAATGAGGCTCCTTGGCGATCAAGTTTGCTGGTTTGTCGTTTCAGGGGGAGAAATACCAAGTGGGTCCAAGTTTTCGTGAGAAAATTAGCGATGCCGTACACCATCGAAGAGGGTTGCGGGCGGGGAAATTAGGCGGGTTCGATTTGTCCTTCATGTGTTATTTTGGATCTTCTTCTGTCCCGGACTTTTTTAGGTTAAAATGTAGCATGCATGATTGCATGAAGATTGTCTGAATTGAATCATTGCTATATTTGCAGGGGTTCATGTTATTGATTCAAGCGTATTTATTTCATTTTTGTACACAAAAAAAAGTAGAAATTAAATTACTATTTTTAAATGTGTTGGCTTTCCACAAATAAACCATTTGAAATTAAATTATAAAATCGATTTATGAGGTATATTCGGCTTGAATCTAACTTTAAATGATTGATGGATCTAGTACAAAAGAGCAAAATGTGGTAATAGAGAATTATCTAAGTAACGCAGATACAAATATCGAGACAAAGGCACGGCACGTAATATGAGGATACAATATAATTGAAAAAAATAGAACACGACACGTCATTGACACATATTTATATTTAATTAATTATTCATATTAAAAGACATCACAAAACAAAGTATACAACAACAACAACAATAATAAAGCCTTAATCGTACTACAAGGGGTCGGTTATATGAATCTTTTTTCTCCATTGCATCCTATTTAGAGTCATATTTTCATTTAGTTCTAATAAATTAAGATCATTTTTATACAATAAGCTCAAGTCTTCCTCTAGGTCTACCTAGGTCTACCTTTGACTTTCTGAACATAAGTCGAATCTAAAACATCTACTCTTTTAGTCGGATCATCAGATGGTCGACGCTTAATATGACCAAACCATCTAAG